GGGGAGCATGCCATTCCCTAGATTAAAATTCTTAAAATCCATGAGCATTTTATTAAAAAAAAAAATATGCTAAATAGGCAATTCTACCATCCATCCCAAGAAAATTCGGCATGGAGCAGCCTTTGCAGTGGCTTGTGACCCTGCAGATAAATTTTCATATGTATTCCAAGCACTTTCAACCTTCCAATTATAAAAGAGATCTTAAATCAGAACTTCACATAATGAACCAATGTGAATCACAATGGTTAATCCACAACTTGGGACTTTTAAACTGGAGACTCTACCCTTTGAAGGCTAAAAATTTCGCAATATAAGCAAAAATAAAATTGTAAATGTTACCAAAAAAAAAAAAAAAAAGAAAATTTCGACTTGTACTTGATAAATGATTTAAAAAACTGTCAGCCACTAGGTCCAGGAAAAATGCAGCGACATATTATTTTAATTTTGTATTGTAACAGTTATTTGTATTTGGTACATTTTTTATGTTTTGCATTATATTATATGAATGTCTGCATTATATGAAAAAAAAATAACTTATTTTTATTCAATTGGGTAAAATAATGCAGGTAAATGAGTTGCAAATCCTAATCAGGTAAAAATTTCCGGCATATCCAGATGTGAAATTGTTACCAGAATCCCCAGTTTCGAGTTGCGAAGATACCCCTTATTTTATTATCCTGGTTATAAAAACTATTCTTTAGAAGTCGAATTTGTATAAACAAAATAAATCATTTAAAATAAAAAAGAAAAAACTGTTTAAAAAAATATTTCTTTTATGTATGTATTTGCATTTAAGTTCCTTCATAGTTTTCCTTAACTATCCCATAATAATATCCATAGATATTTCATGTAATTTCTAAAATATTATCCTTAATATTCATCAAATTTCTATAAGTTAGCATATATTTTCCTCACACTTCGTTAGTATTTTTAAATTCGCGCCTATACAAACTCTACGCGTGACGCCATGCGCGTGGCCGTCCTATTTTTGACACTGTTGATATCCTACCTTTTATTTTTTATACCATGGTATTATACCAAATTATAACAGAGCATAAAAAATTGTAATTCTGAATTTTTGTTGCCAACGATCGAGCTAGGTGCGATGCGCTAAAATCTTTTGAAGACGCGGACGCTTCCATTACTTTTAAAAGAGCAACATAACCTTGCCCAATCTGATATCTCAAAGGTTTGATAGCGTCTATTCTACTGGACCAGCGTGTATCAGATAGAGGTTTTAACGTTAAATCTGAAATGCACGTTTTTAAAACTGACCATCTTTTTGTCGACGCAGAAAAAAATACATAAATTTCTTGAACAATATCAAAGAAACCCGATACTTCAAAAGAAATTTTAGCAGCATCATTAACAACTAAATTTAATGAGTGCGCTGAACAAGGAACAAAATATGCTCGGGGGTTTATATTTAAGATTCGAGTTTGTAAGCCACTATGTATTCCGCGCATATTTGCGCCATTGTCGTATCCTTGACCGCGCAAATCGTGTATACTTAAATTCAATTTTAGTAACAAATCTGTAACATAGTTACATAAACCGGCACCAGTAGAATCAGTAATAGGACAAAACTCAATGAAATGTTCACGTATTTCGATTTTTTTCGTTAACTCATTTAATAAAACAAACCTCAAAATGACACTTAATTGTTCCGTATGACTCACATCTGGTGTACAGTCGAGAATTATAGAATAATATTTATATTTTCTTACCAGATCTAAAATAGTATTTTTAACTTTTAAACCGATTAAATCGATCAATTCATTTTGAATTTTATCACCTAAATAATTTCTCGATATGATATCACTGCTTTGATTTTTATGTGTGCGACGAACATGCTCCTCCATTACAGAATCAAATTTTGAAAACGTTTCTATTAATTTTAAGAAATTTCCATTATTATTTTCATACAATTTGCTAGATGAACCACGTAAAGCTAGACATTGACGACATAAAAACTGTATTGCTGAAATTATTCTTTCAATGATACGATACCAGTATTTTTTTTCTACATCCAATAAACGTAATTGACTCTGATTAATAGCAACTCCCTTAGATAGTATAGTTGACAAATTTGACCAAGTTCCGATATTGCTTTTATGAAGGTTACTCTTTTCATGTCTGCTTAGTACTATTGACAAATGTTTCCAATCAGAACATCCTTCCCTATTCGACAAGTTAGTTACCAAAAAGTTTACAGCAGAAACAGTAAACCGCATCTTTTGATGTAGAGTACATAAGCCACTCTCTTTTAACTTTCTCTCCATTGGCGAGGTTCCGATAAAAATTGCTAGGAGTAAATTTTCTGCCGTGTGAATCTACCGGATAAATCCAGTCCGTTACTTGACGGGGTCCTTTTTCGGTTAAAAAGCTTGCATCTGCGGATGTAATTATTTCAGGCCATTCTCCAGGATCATCAGATATTACGATGTAATTGGAATTTGGTACATCTACATCTGATGCGGTCGATGCGGAGGCAACATCAACATCTTCAATATTATGTTCCTGGGTAACATTTCTATCACTATCAGGAACAAATAAGGTATTTGAGGAACAACTAGGGCGAGCATCATTGCCGGTATTCTCAACCTCAGAAAAAACACTTGTTACTTGTGTTTCTGATGGCTTCAAATATTTTTTTAAAGAATCAGTTAATTTTTCCTTCGCTTCCATTTGCTTCTTTCTTTGTTGGCGATAGTGGTGACCTGATAGTCGTTTTCTTTTTCTGTCCTTAAATAAAAAATTTCATATTCAAATCAAATTCAATTTAGTGTTGTCACAGTTGTTGTAGTATAAATAGTTTGATAGTTACTTACCATTTTGACAATTAAAAAATTAAATCACAATTATTAACCTTTATACACTCACTAACTAAATGGAAAATTGAAATGACCCTTTCTACAAACTCTACACAAATTTATACTCATTTTCGTTTTTGAGCGGTTTCCGACAAATGATTTTTTTATCCTTTATAGAGCGAAAAAATTAAAAATAAATAAGTCTCCCTACTTATTCTCTTAGTCCGTTTGTTTTTGATCACTCAAACTCTTTTATCTAGCCGCTGCAACTAAATAGCATCAAGTACCGACAAAGCATCAAGTACCGACAAAGAAAAACGTCGGTGTCGTAAATCAATTATCATTTTGAGCGGTGGCTTTGCGGCGTAACGCTCGTTACACATTGGGCGCTTATTTCGCGTCGGCGAAACTGCCGTCGCCGTCGTTTTAGCAGTAGTCTATAGATTCAAATGGAAGTTTTCACACATGGTGGCAGGAATGCCGCGCCGCCCTGTGTGTAAGCTTTCATTTCAATCTATAGCTATAGACTTCTGCGCCTCATGTGCAACGAGCGTTAGAGAGACGATCTGCCTAGGTGTTTTGCCGCCCTTTGACTTGGCCGCCTGTGGCTTTTGCCCACACTCGCCACATAGTCGGCGCGGCCCTGGTAAATGAAGTAATTACTAAATGGTTACTTAATTGCTAATCGAGCACTTCTAGTCTTTGGACTGTAATGAATTTTACTACACCTTCGGTTATTATTTCCTACTTTTTTTTTCTGATGTCTCTATCTGCTTGGAATTAGTGTCTTCTTCCCCTTCACTTTCGCTAGATATTGCTTCTTCTTCTAATTTTATTATAACGTCACATTCCATAGGCGTACTTTGCAAAATAAGTTTCTATAATATAAATAAGGTCACGCCATATAAAATGGTATATCTATACGCACTTCGTATGAAAAAAGTTATATTGTTTACAAAAAATAAAAGTAAACCTTATTCTTCTGACAAAAGTACTGTCACTAATATTACCCGTTTTCAACAAAAATATGGCCTAAAATTTGATTTGTTTTGACCTAAAAGTCAATTATTTATGAACCAATCGTTAAATAATTCAATTCAATTGTCGGCTTAAATTTGCAGTGGGCTCTCCTATCATTCTCGTTCTGGGGGCTTACTCTCTAACCAGCGTTCGTATTTTAAAAACGTAAAGCGCTTCAAAATATTATGACTTGGATATTAAAATATCACCAAATTTATGTACTGTTTATTTTGTTATTGAATCGTTATAATTTTGGAATTGACCTTAATTTATTCTCATAGAGTTTGCTTTTGGGCCCTATCCAGTTGCTTTTAAACTATTATGTCTATGTTAAATGATTAGTGAATTATAATAATGTCAAAATGACATTCAAATCCTAACCATAGTTATTTAGACCAATCATCATTTACGATTTAATTATGACTGCTTATGACAAAATTGAAAATCACTTACGAATAGCAAAATCGTCTATCATTATTGGAGAATACCATAATCACATGCTTGACGTTTTGGTAATCGAACTTTGTTCAGAAGTCCGCTTTGCGCTTTCGTTGCTATGCGTTTTTTGTTTTTGGCTTGGTTTTCGGCTCGGCTTTCGGCTGAAAGTTAGAGAATACCCCCCAGATCTGTATTTACTTCTAGATGCTAATTGCGAAATATCCGTGCGAACTAAGCAACACTGTTATCCTCAGGAATTTAATTAATCTATTTTAAATATTTTTTCTATCGTAATGAGAATGAGGTGTAGGTGTACCTCTAATACCATCTCCGTCTCTTCTAAACGGCTTTTTTTCATTAGTACACGTGATGTATCTAAGGACAATAACAATAACATGGTCCAAGAAAATTATTTTCTTGAAAGTAGTTTTCGAATGAAGTTCTGAGCCAGTGCGCTGTAGTTTTTTCTTGAAGACTAACATTGTAAATCCGTTAGTAAAATGTATTAAAGCATAAAGATGTTCATATGATGTACTACCGTCTGCTATTAGATGGCATCGAAAAATACAAAATAATTTAATATTTAGAGCACAAGCAAGTAAACTAAACTTCTTTTCATTTAATATTAAGTGATATCATTCTTTAGACAATTCTTCGTAATTTTCTGTGGCGACAGAGCTTTAATTTAATGATTCGTCACGTAGATGACTCTCTATGTAAATGTTTCAGATTCCACTTATCTCGGCTCCGACAGCGTATACAACAGAATAGAAAACTCAATTAGAAACTTGGGAAGCGAATACTTGGACTTACTTTTAATTCATTCTCCCGGCTTAAGCAGTAGAAACAGCAAATCAACTCCTAAGAATGATTCAGTTTTAAGGGACGAAACTTGGAAAGTTTTCGTTACGGCCGTGAAACAAGGTTTGGTCAGAAATATTGGTGTTTCTAATTACAATGTTCGCCATTTGACCGAGTTGCTTAGAAACGATCATGGTATTAAACCAGCTGTCAACCAAGTGAGTAGTTTTAATAATATTAATTAACTATTTGTTATAACAGACTGGAAATTGATATCTTTTGAACTGGCCACAATTTCTACACTGCCTTAGATATAAATCAGCTACCATTAATCAAACATCGTGAGTACCTCAAGGCTCTGTTTTGGGACAACTTCTTTTTTTTATTATTATTTATCAATGATATTATATCGAATATTAAGTAAAAAGCTTATTAGAGAGAGATATTGCAAATTTCTATAACGTCAGCCACTAATAGTGACAACGTAATTAGAGGCAAATAAATTCTATGCTAAAATAAGACTTATTAAAAACCTGACGTTTTGACATTATATATTTCTAACCTCATTTTTAAAATTTTAAATTACAGTTCATCTTTTTTGTTGTTTATAATAGTACATAATATGGAAGAGGCATTAGAAAATACCATTTTAGAAGGTTTAGATGACGATGATATTAAATATTTAATATTAAAAAACTTCGAACTGATACGAATGTTGGCGAGCGCACCCTAAAACTATAAAGTCGCCACTAACTGCTGTCCTTAAACATCCACAATTAAGGACAGGCACAATCTTTATTAAAGTCAGTTCTAGAATGTAAGTGATCTGCGCATGCTCAGATGTCAAAATAAGAGTGGCACTAATAGTTACTGACCTTAAGTGAACTTGCAATAATTCTCTATTATACCTATTCTTACTTTTCTCTAAAAAATAAAGAATATATCACTGATTCGACCAGAAATTAATGAAGATCTCAGTGTTTATTATGATTTTAAATTTTAATAATTATTATTATTATAAATAAAGTTTACAATGTACTCTTTAATAAGTATGTCTACTATCACGGTATAGGAATAATAATAGATAATTGATGGAAGCCGCAAAAGCTTAAATTAAATGCGTCCGCCACCTCTTAATGACGCACCCTGCATGTTTCCAAAGCTTAGGACTCCTCATAATGTCTTAATTGTTCTCGGTTTCAATTTAGCGAAGTTGTAGATAAAAAGTAGTTTTTAAATTTAAATTTTTAGGTTGAATGGCATCCAAACAATCATCAAGCAGATCTACTAGAGTTATGTAGAAAAGAAGGAATTTTATTGCAAGCATACTTTTCTTTAGGGGGTACAGGTAGAAAAGAAGTCCTGCTGAACCGACCTGAGGTTGTTAAAATTGCTGAAAAATTGAAGAAAACACCGTCTCAGGTAACTAAAAAATGTTTTTTGTAGAATAATAAAAAGTAATCATTAGTAACGGGCAGGTTCACTTGTGTTTCAATATCTGTTGGTGTACCTATAAAGCTGAAACAACTGCTCGCTTAGTTGCATACCACAGGTGGTGGGCGTTATATCAATGAGTACAAGGTATAGCGTGGGGCTTGCCATAAAGATCCCTACCTCTGGTTGGAACACCAAAACATTTGGCAAAATTTCTAGTATTTGGAGGTTGCGTGCTAACCAGATGATATAAATTGAATTTTAGCTTCGTGAATGTAGCTACAATCTTTAACCTCCATATTTTATCCATTATATCGTAAAAGTCGTATAGCTAAATATTGGAGAGTTATTGCAAGTTCACTTAAGGTCAGTCACTATTAGTGCCGCTCTTATTTTGACATCTGAGCATGCGCAGATCACTAACTTTAATAAAGATTGTGCATGTCCTTAATAGAGAGATATTGCAAATTTCTATAAAGCCAGCCACTAAACTTTAAATTATAGTTCATCTTTTTTGTTGTTTATAATATTAAAGAGGCATTAGAAATTAAAATTTTAGAAGGTTTAAATGACAATTATATTAAATATTTAATATAAAAAAACTTCTAACGGATACGAATGTCGGCGAGCGCATCCGAAAATTAAAGTCGCCATTACCTGCTGCCCTTAAACATCCACAATTAAGGACAGGCACAATCCTTAATAAAGTCAGTTTTAGAACATAAACATCTGCGCATGCTTAGATGTCAAAAGAAGAGCGGAACTAATAGTGACTGACCTTAAGTGAACTTGCAATAACTCTCTAATATAAGCAACCATACTTTAATTTTATGTTCTAAATTAAATTGATGTGGTGGGAAAGATTTGTCAATGTCGCATATTGGTAGTTATCTAGTAATCCAATTGAATTGGTCGTTTCAAAAACAACATAGGTACCTAATTCAAAACAAAATCAATTTTCAGTAGACACAAAAACTGTTTTATACAAAATTTACACTTTATTTAAAAAAAAATTAATATTTAGATTTTATGAATAGAATGGAAGATCTAAAAAACTCAAGTTTAAGAAAAAAATTATATTTTTGTTATGGACTTATGTGGTTTTTGAACGATTGAACATTTATTTTATATTTGTTAATTTGTTTTGACATGAAATAAGAACAAAATCTACATTATCAAAACGTTTAATAATAGTATATTATGCAAAGATCATGTATTAATAACCATTACATTGAGAGTTACATACGCTATTTTCTCTACACCCGATAAATAATCAAGAACTATAAATATTATATTTATTTGTATTGAACACAATAACAGTAATTATTCGTATTTCTATAAAAAATTCTACAAAATTATAATTAATGGTATTATCTCGGGTATTGGTATTACCATAGTTTTTGGGGCAAAATATTTTATACTGCATTTTCTGTTTTCTCCGATATGTGTGGAGGAGTCGATGGTAAATCTTCTATATCGCTGATATCAGACATTTTGATAATATAATTATCGAAGTTTAGCTATCTACGAAAATTTAATACGTACTGATTTTGACAACTAAAACAACTACATAGGAACCTAGAACAAACGTCAAATGCACAGCCTGCTTGATTGAAAAATTATGGGTTTCTAATGATTAAAAATCTGTATCGTTATGAAAAATCTGTATCATAATGGGTATGGGCATACAAGTGCATTATTATAATACGAGTGTAGAAAAAAGATATTTTAAAATGTAAAGGAAAGTTAACACTAAGCTTGGGAAATTAGATGATAATATAAATTAAAATGCTAACTTAAAAAATCGACTGTCCGTGCAAAAACCACATAAGCATCTTATATGGTATTTGTAAAAAAAGAATAAAAAGGTTTATTTATCTAACGGTTAACTTGTGTGATTTTTGCACATAACGTGTAGAAAAGAAAATACCTTTTCATGACAAACCCAATTTTGCCAAAAATTGACTTGTGGTTTTTGAAATGACCGATTCAATTGTATAACAAGGATTTAATCGTTTAATCGGAATGTAATATTAAGGTAACTAATTATGGTCTCGTAGTTCGAAATAAAGAGATCATAAATAAATAAAAAAATATATCTTCAGCAAAAAGCTGTTAATCATATGGAGTGAACCATAATAGTTATTTGTGTACCAAGGCCGTAAAGCTGAAATTTTTTTGCCGAATCAGAAATTTGCGGCCGAGGAGTACCCGAGGCCAAGCAACTTCTGGTTAGGCCAAAAAAGATCATACGGCAGACAATATTTTTTTGGAAACTGTCTCATCAAGTAGAGTCAATATTTTTTTACATTCTGATTTTTGAAACGAGGCTTTTTTATTGATCGAATTAAAATCCATCGTTAAATAATAAAATTTGTACAGAATTACTAACGATAAGTAGGATAAACCTGTGTTTATAAACAGCGGCCGTAAAGTAAATGCGCCCAAAAAAGTTACACTTTAGGGATGTTAATAAATTCGTAAAGTGTCATTTTTTGACAGTCGCCTAAAAAAAATGTTTTTCAAGAAGGTCATGAATGCCATGACCTACAAAGGCAGAGACACGAATTATGTGCGTGCTAGCTGCGCACGGCTCTAAATTAAATCCATTGACATTTTAAACGAAGAATTTAGTTTGAAAATATTCTTTATTTGTTAAGAATTGTATTGGTTTAAAACTCGTTTAAAATGTGTCTGAAGTTGGCCAAATCGATAATGTTTGTAAACATTTTAGATTCTTTTGCGATGGGCTTTGCAGCAAAAAATCGGAGTCATTCCAAAATCTCTATCCGAGGCTCATATCAGAGACAATCTAAGTCTGGATTTCACAATTCCAGCGGAAGATATGAAGACCCTATCCGGTTTCGAACAAAATAGATTAGGGTTTTCCCTCGACAGGTATCAGTGAGCTGAATATATTACGAAAACCTATTATTTTACTTCATAAGTATTAAATAAATCGAAGCAATCTTTATATTTGTTTTATTTTCAAGCAGGCTGGATGTCCGATCTCGACTCGATTTTATTAAGAATCGATCTTTTGTGTCATGATTTCCATTTTTTAAAATAGATTTTTGCTAGAAGACATTACTTCTAGCCTAGTAAAGATAAATATGGCAACGCGGCGGTCGAACCCATTTCACATACGTTTTAGTTAACTTTTAAATCGAAACGCGTTTTGCCGCCGATTTTTTTTTTTTTTTTTTTTTTTTTTTCGAAAAAAGTTAAGATTAATTAAAATTAAAACAGTTTTTCTTTAATTAGTTCTTAAAAGTGATGTATTATCATAGGGCCGAAAGTTTGTGAATTCTTTGCGATAAACGGTGTAACTGAAATAAAGTGATTTTTGTTACAGTTCTCGAGTTTTTATTTATATTAAATAAGTGTTATAGTCTAGAGAAAAAACGGGTGCAGTAATTTAATTTGCAGAACGTAGTACAGGTTCAAGAGGTAGATATTTTATTTGTATCTTATCCTTCAATGCCTATTTGTAGTTAAAATGAAAATTTTCTGCCTAATTGAAGGTTTCGTTTAGATTAATGTTTCCATGGTTTTTACTGTAATAAACCTTTTCTTTTGACATATAAGTCAGACTTTATTTATTAATAGCCGTATCGTATGTATTTTAATTGATTCGGAATTTTGTATTAATATTATAACTTTACAGTTATATAAGAGTGCATTAGAAAATATTGCAAGCACAAGTACGCGTAAACGACCTAGTGGACATAAAGCATCATCTTTAGAAGAAAAAATACCGTACTTAATGTAAATAATCTTCGAAAAGACTTTTTCTCTTTCTGTGGATGAAATAGCCACTAAATGTGAGACCTATACTGAATTATCTAAACGGACAGTGTATAACATTATTAAAGAAGGTACAGTTATTGGAAAAGTCTCACATCCGAAAAAGCCCCCAGGAAGAAACAAGACCTTTATTGAAACTTGGGTAAAGAATGTAATATGGCAAATGGTACATTCTTTTTTCTGAAATGAAATGAAATTCCTACACTTAAAAAAATTACACTCAGAAATGCAATTAGCCAAGTAGGTATATATTTTTACCTGAAAAAAATATTACAGGAAATCATTGCGTGGAGACATAATTATTTAAGGAAAATAGCGGACGCAAGGCAGCAGAATAAACATGTATTTTATTTAGATGAAACATGGATTAATGCTGGACATACAGTAACAAAAATTTGGCAAGATACCTCCATCAAAACTAAAAAAATAGGCCTCTATGGAAGGGGTCTCTTGTGAATTAAAAAAAAACCAACAGGATGAATTATTAATGTTCAAGTCAAATAAAACATAAGACTACCATGAAGAAATTGATGGCCCTATGTTTAAAAATTGGTTTCAGATTATAAAAAAAATCCAGCCAACTCCGTTATTGTTTTGAATAATGTATCTTATCACAGTCGATTATTAAAGGAGTGCCCCTACCTACAACAAGATGGAAAAAAGATACTTCAAAATGGTTTCATTCTAAAAATATTATCAGTCTCCTTAATCCTTGAAGGCAGATTTACTCGTAATAGCAAGGCAACATGAAAACAAATTCAAAAAATATATTATAGACGAGATGGCTCGAGAAAACAGAATTGAAATTCTCAGATTGCCTCCTTCACGCAGTTAAATCTTATTGAACTGATCTGGTTACAATTAAAAGGTTATGTTTTTCGAAACAATTAAGGTATGGTCCGTTATTAACCGAAATATCGGTTACTCGGTCCAAAACTAACCGCTCTGCTTGACATTCCTGAAAAATCTGTTAAATTAGGGACGCGGTTACCTAAAAACACCTGAAAATGATGACTCAAACGTAACCGCTATATTTTTACGGTTACCATTGAGTCCAATGTCAATCTGTCACAAAATTGACGCAACTCTCAGCCGTGGCCCAAAAGTAACCAACAAATTGGTGTTTTTTAGGAACCGCTGCCAAAAAATCCTGGTTATTTACGGTTAGTAGTCGGTTAATAACGGACAGGCATTCCAACGACCTGTGAAACTGCTGACAAGTGGGAACTGACATTTAGATATGGCAACCCTGTGAGCCTGTTGTCATTGACAGGGTCAATAATACGTATATAGTTATATAGATTGCTCAAAGCGGGTCGTTTGCGAGCGGCCATATTGCCTCGCAAGTGCTCATTAATCAGAATCGATTTTGCAAAAATGTGTTTACAAACCAATATTTAGCCTTGAATATAGTAAAAAAATAATTACCTACATTTTTACTTCAAGGCATAGGCTTATGTTTATTTTGAAAAATATGGATGATCAATCTATGTAACTATCTATTTCATTGGACCTTGTCAATTCACCAGGCCTACAGGGTTGCCATAATTTGGCTATATCATAACCTGTCAAAACTGGTAGCCATTTTGTTTGGAATGCCTAATCAAAGAAGTAGAGAGGGTAGAACGATAAGGTACCGTCTGCGCATCCATCACGAGTGTAGAAATTATGCGTGATTCAGCCTTCCACTCTTACACACGTAAATGACAAGGAGAGGTTGCCCTAAAGCACTGTAAACAAATTCCAGGATCGACTTTATTCAGCGATTATGTTCATGTTCAGCTCTGTTTTTTGTTTGTGTTTTGGCTGTTGTAAGCTTTTTTGGCGTCAATTCTTTGTTATCTTGCTTATATTTATGATTTTTTATGCTTTTATTCCGATTTAGTATTAAATTATACTTGTTAATTATTTTTCGATGCACTATTTTATAATTGTTGCACAAAATGTTGTTAAACCGTCCCTGAATTTTGTTTACAAAATGTGCAAAACGAAATTGTGCATAGTGTCCAGACTTTTTCATTGACAGTTATCATTCTACCCCTCTCCACTTCATTGTGCCTAATACATTTAAATTACCGGATGCGCGAAATTTGTTTTTGAATGCATTTTCATAGGTAAATGAAGAACATTGGAGAAAATGCATTGATCATGTTAAAAAGGTGGAAAATTCATTTTGGAAAGTGGATCTAACAATGGGCAAATTTAATAGACCCTATAATAATAAACCTCAGAAAATATATAGTAAGGACAGTGACTTTTAATCTTTATTTTGGTACTGTGTTACTTTTAATGCCAAGAGATTAAAACAGTTTAATCCCATTAACAACATATAATCATCCTTGTTTTGCCGCGTTTGAGAATATTTTTTCACGTGATAGAGAATTAGATCTGAATGTAGATGTAATAAACAAACGCTCTAGACTTTATTTGGTCACGTGATAAAATGTCAATGACAAGTTAGAAGTTTATACTTATTAAATTTGACTTTTGAGAGTAAATATAACAAACTAATCACTTTTATATTCATGCTAGCACAAAGGATAATTGACAAACAAGGCTTCACAGAACACTTACTTTCTGGCATGGAACAAACATCTCATTCACATCTCATTTCAAATCGAGATGTAAAAAATGTAATATGAAAAGGTACATCTGGGATAAACAAACGCAGATGTAGATGTGTCCGATGTGGATAAAAAAACGCTCGAGATGTAAAAAATTCATCCGATGTGGATTCTCAAACGCGGCATTTATTGGTTAAATTTAATTCGTTCAGTGTTAAGGTAGGATGTTTTACTCTCCGGCAGTGCGACATGCGATAGCGACGTGCGACACTAATGTGTACCGGCGAATTATTGTAACAGTACTTAAATAAATGGGTTGTTTAACCCTGGTACCCTATTCTCGAACTCATGAGAGCGCTCCTACATGTGGCTCCTACACTCTCCTACTCGGCGGCGAATCGACTGCTTCATCACCAGTGTTGCCAGACGACCAAAATTAAATTGTACAATGCTCTAGAAATGATCTTTCTTTTTTCTCATAATTTTATCGTACGAAACTGACCTTACTAGTGTGACGTTATCGGAGGCTGGTTAATCTAAGAGATTACCTATCGGATTAGGATTAGGGTAATTAGATAATAATTTTATTAAATAAATATACAGGGTGGGCCATTAAGTTGAGCGGATATGAAAAAATCGTGAAAAATAAACAGAAAGTAATATCATTACAAGTGTATATTTAAATTAAAATACACAGATGGGAAATTATTTTTTAAAAATAACATCATACATATGTGCGCCAACTTGACACAAGCACTCTTCGAATCTGAACTTCAAATTTGAGAAAACTTGTTGACACATTGAGCGTGGAATATCAGTCATTTTCTCTCGAATATTCTCCTTTGACTGATCTGCTCTGCGTGGCCTATTGGTGTAAACGCAACTCTTTAAGTATCCCCAAAGAAAAAAATCACAAGGAGTAAAGTCTGGACTTCTGGGAAGCCAGAGAAAATCCCCTCGGCGCGATATCAGTTTTCCTTCAAACATCTCGTTTACGGCCGTTATCGACTCACTAGACGTATGGCATGTGGCGCTAACTTGTTGAAACCATGTCCACACATTAAATGGCTCAAATTGATGAAGTTGCGGAAAGAAAAAATTACGCAACATTGTTGTGTAACCGGTCAGAATTTACCGTTACAGTCTGGCCTCGCTCATCTTCAAATAAATAGAGACCTATGATTCCTTGTGCCGAAATAGCCGCCCAAACTGTAACTTTGGGCGAATGCAGTGGCTTTTGATGTTTTGATTTGGGATTTTCTGCTGCCCAATAGCGACAATTCTGTCTGTTGACATTCCCATTTAAGTGTCGTCCGAAAACAGAATATTGTTCAGAGTTGAAAAGCGCTCCAACATTGTTTGAGTAAAATTACGGCGTAGGTTATGGTCATTGGGTTTCAACTCCTGCACTAATTGAATTTTGTATGGATGCAGTTTTAGACCTTTTACCAAAATTCGACGCAGGGATGTTCTTGATATAGCAAGCTCTGCCGACCTCTTTCGGGTAGATAATCCGGGATCGCGTCGCGTCGACTTTGGGCGACCTGCAGGCTTCTGATTAAGTGTGGAACCACTAGCTTCGAACTTTCTGATCCACGATC